AACAAAGAGCAGTGCAGTGTAATTTTTCTCTCAATTACAACTTGACAAATGATATTATACAGAGAAAGGAGAACAGATTTGGCAGGGAAGAGGAGGGGCAAGGAAACAGAGAGCAAATTGCAATCAAGAACTCATGTACTAGCTCAAATTACAAAATATGTTTTTCCATGAAAACAGTTTTTGGTCATCATTCCACATAGTTAAATCAGTGTCTTTGGAATCATGGAATCAGTTAGGTTGGAAAAGACCTCTGAGATCACTGAGTCCAACCTACAGAATTTTATGCTCAACCACCATTCAGATTTAAAACGTTTTAGGAGAGGATACAATTTTCTTTAGTGAAACACAGCTAAAAATAAGCAGTAAAAACAGGGAAAGCAAAATTCTTCAAACTAGGAGAAAAAAAAAAATCAAAGCAACGTCGAAAAATCTTATGCAAGATTGATTTATGAATTACAGTAGAAGAACACTATTAAGAACACCTACAATTAAAAAAAACAAAACAATTTCTTCTGTAACACTGCCAGGTAAGCACCAATTCAGCATGCAGATTGAGACTGGAGTATCTCTCTTAGAAGGAAAGGCTGAGGGAGCCAGGACCTAATCAGTGTGTATCAGTATCTGAAGGAAGGGTTCCAAAAGGATGGATCAGGGTCTCCATGTTAGTGCTGAGCAATAGGACAAGAGCAATGGGCAGAAACTGATGCACTGGAAGTTCCACCTCAGCATGAGGAAGAACTTTACTCTGCAGTGACCATGCATGGAACAGATTACCCAGAGAGGGCGTGGAGTCTCCCTCACTGGGGATATTCCAGAACCATCTGGACACAATCCTGCACAATGCGCTCCAGGATGACCCTGCTTGAGCAGGGAGGCTGAACCGGGTGACCCACTGTGGTACTTTCCAACCTGACCCATTCTGTGAGGAGGCAGAAGCAGACAAAGAGAAATAGTTTGGCATAAAAATGTGCATTTCTGCCTCATCTCGTTTCCTCAGAAATACCAGAATTACTGAATTCTCTTTTTCTGGCTCTGATTGACAGAAGACAGTCCCATCTACTTTAAGATATGAATAAACCCCACAATTTAGGTGTTATTAATCTCACTCCCTTAAAATTTTCCTTTCACCTGCTAAGCCAGATGCCTTACATGATGAATATACTGAAGCTCCTGAGGTATGCCCACCACAAACTATTTTCCCTTCAACTACTCAATTTTCATTCCTCCCTACTGTTAAATTAATAGTTTAGCCATATAAAAACAGAATTCTACCACATTAATGGTGAAAAAATATAATTACTTTTTAAAAAATTCTTTCTCCTTCTTCACCAATAGGCTCTATCTTCCTGTTTAGGTATAACTAGCTTTTTGTTCAGCTAATAACTAAAGCATTTAACACCTTCCCTGCTAAATATTAAAGGATTATTTAGGATGGTCTTCTGGGGTTCTTTTCTCTTTGTTTGTTTTATTGCAAAAAAAACAAAAAACAAACCTGTTTAGAAGTTCTTTACTCCAGTAATTTAGAGCCAGTGTTAGATCAGTTCTGGCTGGAGAAAATGCACCAGAGGCACTAGTATTCAAGTGAATTGAGTCAAAACAAATTAAGAAGAGACTAGTTAAGATGGATGCACGATGTCACACATTTTGGGTGATTCCTGCACAATTCTGGGGCTTCTCTACTACCTCTATAAAGTTCAAGAACTGGATATGAACTAGAACACAGACCATTCCAAGAAGACAGAATTTATCTATCTAAAACAAAGATCATTTAATACCTTTATCTCTGCTGTTTACCTTTTCCTAGAAAACACTACTCATAGGAAAAACTTGCTAAGTCAACTCTGACAAAAATAGCTTATCAACATTACTTCTGGCATTATGTAATGGACTCGTCATCGTATGCTCTGACAGATTATTTTAGAACTGGCTATACCTAAACAGCCAGAAGAACACTCTTTGACTCACTAGATGTTTTTGTTTTATCTTAAGCTACCTACTACAATCACAACAATACATTCACCTCTTTTTTCACCATAACTGTCAGCTCTCTATTCCTGTAAGAACACAAAAGAAATGTTCTAAACTGTGAAAAAATAACCTCTCTAATACCATAAGGTTTGAAACATTATGTACTCCTTCATTAAACTGAACTCTTTCAATGAAAGCATCCCTGATGAATGACAACAAAAACAAAAGCAACTTAAATGAAATGCTGGGGGTGTTTTTTTGTTAATGTATAGTTTTATATTGGTTTTCAGACTAAAAGGCACCTAAGATCAGGTGCTACCAGAACCAGTGTAGTGATACAGCTACAGTGGTGTTCCACTTACTTGAGGACACAAGCACCTTTACTAGTAGAGATAACTCTATTTCAGCTCACTTTTTTTCCCTAGTGTATGCATTTCCACAATGCAATGTATCATACACAACTACTATTCAAGAATCAATGAAATAATGATCACCATGATTACATCATCAAAAGATTATAAGAAAGCTTCAGTTACAACAGAATGGAGTAAAAAATAATCAAAGGTAATAATACATGAAAATTAAGTTCATTAAAGGTCCCTGACACACATGTGGGCATCAAAGTTCAATGATATTTCTTTCCTTTAATGTATATTAGTCTATCTCATCTGGCAGATTTTGAGAACAAAATTTTCAATGAAGACCCAACTACTGGCAGGATGAGCACAACCACTGTGTGGAAAATCATCACTGCTCATGATGCTCTATACAGTCAAAGCAATTAGTGGTACTGCAAACGTGGCATAAGTGATAATAATTTTTTAAGCCTCAAATTCATTAATACCTTGTTCTCAAAATACGAACTTTTTTTTTCCTTCACAGTCTTGATGTGCCCCCAACCAAACCCAAAGCTTTATACATTTCAGAGCACTTCTTCAAAGGCACATCTATTAAAGTGTACACACAAAACCAGCCTGAGCATGGCACATTAGTTTCTGCCACAACTTTATTTTTTAAAGGAAAGACTGTAATGCCTGCTTAAAAACAAAAAGAAACCCATTTTGGGGTTTCTTTCAGGCCCTGTGAGGTCTAATGTGATAACCAGCTAGCCTCGCTCTGAAAGGGTTAAAAACAGACAAAAAAAAATTTAAACTACTTGTATTTCTCCAGATGTAAAACCGAAATATTGCCAGGTCTTCCTGCAGCCAGGGTACTGGATAATTTAGGCTAAAATAAATGTTTATTAAAAAAAGGGCGTTGATTTCTTGGCAGCGGTGAAAAGCAGGAGACACCCCTAGTGTCGACGTAAAATACTACAGGACTCCATACTGTATCTCCAGGTTAATTTTACGGCAGAAGAAGGGAAATTTAAACCCGTCATGATTGAAAAAACAGAGCGACTCTCGGACACACACACACCTGGACACATGGCACTCCCGCAGCCTCAAACCCCGAGTACCCATGGTGTGTGAAGTGTCAGCTTTCCGCCCCAGCCCAGTTACAGCGCACATTATCCAGTCCACTGGGCTACGTGCATTACAGCTTTCCGGTCCGCACACGAACAGCACAGCGCTACTGCTGCTGCACCGGGGGCGGGGGGAGAACCCCGCGGAGCTGCGAAACAACCCCCGCACGGCAGCGCTGCCGAAATTGCCGGAGTTTGGTTTGGAAACGGCGCCGGGGGCTGATGGTGCCTCTGTGGAACAGATGAGGCGCAGCCCGGGCGACGCGAATCCCCGGAGCGCGGGGAGGGCCGGGTGGGGGTGAGGTGAGAGGGTGCTGGGGAAGGGAAGGGCCGAGCCCGACCAGCGCTGCCAAGGCGGCGGAGGGAGGAGGCGGAGAGCAGCGGGGCTCCGTGGGCGGCGGGGGAGAGCGGGGGATGCGCCCGCCGCCGGGGAGAGCCAGGAAAGAAGCCCAAAGAGGCGCTCGCCCGCGGGAGGACGTGGACGGCCCGGGGGCGGGAGGAGCCGGGTCAGGGGCAGGGCAGCGCCGAGGCGGAGCGGTGGTGGGGCCGCGGGGGTGGGGGACCCGGCCCGGTCTGGAATATTCCGGCGGGGCGGGAGCGGGGAGGTGGGAAGAGCTAGGGAGGGGAAGCGAGGGAGGGTCCTCACCATGGCGGCGGGTGGGCGTCAGGCGTCTCCCCCGCAGATGAATCCGCCGACCCCGGCCTCGCTGTGCGTTGTCCGGCGTCGCCGCCGCCGTTGCCACTCCCAGTCCGCTCCCGATCCCGATCCCGCTCCCGTCACTGCGGCAAAGGCTCCGCTGACCGCGCACGGAGCGAGCGATGAAGGGAGGGAGCGAGGGAGGGAGGGGGCGCGAGCGGCGCTGGCGCGGGGCGGAGGGGGCGGGGCTCTCGCATCCGGGTACTCCGCCGCGCCGGGGGGCGGGGCAAGCCCGTGACGTCATCGACGGGGTGGGGAGGTGGGAGCGCAAAATGGCGGCGAGGTGATTACGGAGTTGTCAGGGGTGGGAGAGGGTTTTGAGGTCATCGAGTCCAACCGTCAGCGTGGCATTGGCACTGTGACTCTAACCTCGAAACCTCTAAACTCCTAAAACACTAAGCTACGTCACCCAGCTACACAAATCCAGGCGCCTCTTAAACACCTCCGGGGTTGGTGATTCCACCATTACTTCGGCAATTCATTCCAATGTTTCACCATCAGACCAGTGAAAAAGACTTTTTTGTCTACTATCTAACCTCGATCTGCCCTGTCTCAGCTTGAGGCCGTGTTTGAGGTCCTCTCACTGCAGTGTAGAAGAGGCTGGACTCCAGTTAGCTGGGGAGAGCCATGAGGTCCCCCTGAGCCTCGTCCAGGCTAAACTACTCCAGGTCCCTCAGCCACTCCTCATAAACGTGTGGGAAAAAGGAAGGTCCCTTCTATTAGGCCTTTTGTATTTCGTCATTCACTGTTAATGACGAAACACAACTGCATTTTTTTCCTTTTTGCTACTAAACCAAGACTGATTCAGGATGATGACGTACAGTTTTTTTCCCCCCCTTGTATAATTTGACAGATGAGTGTGTGATCGTTTTCAGTGCTGAGCCTGGCTAAATGTGTACTGTGGGGCTGCAGTGAGTGGCTTGAAAAGTCTTGAAAAGGTCTCCAAGGATGCGGATTTCCTGACCTGTGCAGTAGGTGTAAGTACAAAAATACCTTAATAAAGCCAAGGTTTATTGCTGCTACAGCTACTGGTGCTAACAGTTGATATCTTTGCTCCTTCAGGCCTCTGCCCAGGGAAAGGCTCCCTCAGGAAAACTGCCAGAGCTGCTGGTTGTCCTTGGGTTCCCAAACACCCTCTGCTTAGGTTTGTCTTCCTCAGCTATAACCTGTATATATATATTATATACATAGCTATTTTATAAATACATATATATACACACATATATATTATTATATACATAGTTATTTTATATATATATATATATAAAATATGTCTATGTGTCTGTATGTATTTTTATAAGCTGTGCTGCTGGAGCCCTTGCTGCTTTTGCTTCCTCTTGTGACTTCTGCATTCTGCAAAAGTGGAAAAAAAAAAAAATCCATGCAGGGAGAAAGCTCTGTGCAAGGATGTATTTGGAAGCGTGCCTTTGAAAGGTGGCTGCTCTCCCTATGTTCTGGCTGTTATTTTCCTCAGGTTTTTAATATTGTATTGCAAGAGGCTATCCAGGCTTGAAGCTGCTTAGTAAAGAATCACAGATTATTTAGTGTTGGAAGGGGCCTCTGGAGTTCATCTAGTCCAATCCCCATATTTAACAGATTTTTAGAGTATGGTGTTTCAGTACTGTTAGTAGTTAATTATACAAAACTAAAGGAATTGTGCAGTGATGAGATAATCCTTCAAAGTGTACTCCTGTATCTTTGTTGTTTCATGCCAGCCTTTTACCCTGCATAGTCTACAAAATAAAATTACTGAGCTGAATGCAAACTCAGATGAAAGATGTAGTCGCAGTAACCCCTTTGAGGCAAGATTTAGGGCAATGCAACTGCTTGCATAAGTAAGGCTGACCCTCAGGGAGTGATCTCTATATATTGTGAAGTTTTAAGTAGGCCAGACGACACGTTTAAAAACCATTGTAGAGGGTCAAATAAAATAGTTAATAAAGAGGGTGTGATTCCACATTTCCTTTGGTGTTTTTGCCTTTCTGCCCTTTCTCTGCTAAATGAGTTTATTCTGGAGCACCATGACACAGCACATAACACTGTAACAAATTAGGTGGTGATGTGAAATTCATAATAATTACGTATTGTTGTATTAGTACTGCCAAAGAGAAGACTCAGTACCATGCTGATGTTGTTTTTAAGGCGTTTGTTACTTGGCTCACAATAGCTAGACACTTTGCCAGGGAAATGCAAATTAATTCTGCCAAGTTCAAGGTGAATGGTGAGCTAATTCATGGGGGAAGGGAAGACTGGATGAATACTTTAAAACCAGGTTAATTTTTTAGGACCACAGCTGAGAGCATGAGTTTTCCAGTCTAAAATGGTAATAACCTCTCTCTTCATCTCCTTCTGGAAAAGGAACTGCCTCATCACTGTTGCCCTAGTAGTGGGAGTCTGAGCTGAACTAAGATTAGCAAAGGTTACCTTCAGAGTACATGGAGAAACCTGGAATCTTGAAATTAAATGCACAAATGCTAAGAGGAATGGGAATCTCCCATAGGGAAGTCTGCTCAGGGACCTACATAAATTAAGGGTGACTGTGGAGTTCAAGAATAAATCAAAAGTTGTTCTGTTCTATAAGACTGAACCAAAGCAGAACAATAAATGTGCAGCTCTTAGAAACTGTTAATGACTGACGAATGTTCTGCTCCCAAACAGACATGCAGCAAGGGGGAAGCTTGAGCAGGAAGAAGCAAGAGTGGGTCAGGGAGATTGCACAGAAGAGTCTGGTAAAAGTAACTGAATGAAGGTGGTGGTGTTGAGTGAAACTGAATGGTGGTAATTTGCACCAGAAGAAAACAAAACAAGCACTAAAACATGAGTGTAAAGTTTGAGTTAGTAACAAATCAGCAAAACAGGCCAGTAAGAACCTGGGCCTGGCCACAATGGGAGTTTATACACCAGAAAATGATCTGGTCCAGGAAAGGAATTTTCTGCCTGTTTTTATTAATAGATACAGATGGTTAGAATGTCTCTACTTTTGAGGGGAAAAAACCCTAATTGATAGGATGTCTAGGAATAAAATATTCCTAGATTTCACTAAAAACTAGCTTTAAAACTGACTGGCCTCTAGCCAAAAAATAATAATTTCAGATCTCCAAGAGAAAAAGGAATTCTGATGTAAAACAGTCTTGCTACTTGCATCTGTCAGTACAGCTATATCTAGCAGAGGTAAATCTGGAGTAAAATCAGCTAAATTAAATTGAAGGAGGCTAGAATTTCTATTGAATAATGTAATGAGATTAAAATAAACAGAAATGAGGAACATAATATTTTTGGGCTCTGAGTAGACAGAGCCAAGAACTTAGGAAAATACAGTTTTAATTTTATAATGCAGTTATGTCACTGCTAACTGTTTTGAACCTCTAAATGCAGTTCAAAGAACTAGTGCACTTTTAACTCCCATCATTTTTTGAATGTGTCCAAGTTCCTTTTCTTTTATATCTAACTTCTAAAATAAGTTAAAAATTAATTAAAGATGGTGATTATTAGTGTGTAGGTAAGAGTCTGAAGAAAACCATGACTTGCATATTTTTTTTACCTGTACTTGTGATTAATATTTTTTGCAAATATTTGTATGTGAATTTTTTTTTTTTAGAGTAAGTTTCAGACATTGCTTTTTCATTTTCTGCTATTAGTAAAGTTCATCTGCAGCATAATTGCAACCATTCAAACTAGGATCATAACATCATGGAATCATTTGGATTGGAAGGGCCACTTAGTCCAGCCATGGGGCCACCTATGTCCACCAGAAGCAGGGACATCTTCAACTGGACCAGGCTGTTCAGGGCCTGGTCCAATCTGACCTTGAATATTCCCAGGGATGGGCCTTCCACCACCCCTCTTAGCCACCTACTCCAGGGTTTTACCACCCTCACTGTAAAAAAACATCAGTCTCCATGTAAATGGAAACTGATTAAGCTACAGATAAATAAATATGCAAACTCTGTAACTGTGATCTTCAGTGTTATTAACCATTATGATGTGGCTTGCTCAATGCTTGACCTGATGCCTGGAAAACAGTTGCCATGCTGCTGTTCATGTGTCTGGGCTCCAGCTTCTTTCATAGCATGTTTCTTTGAAAGTGCTATTTGTGATGCCTTAACTGTATCAAAGTTTTGAGGGTGTTTTAATATAGCATGTGTCTTTGATGTCCTGAGCAGATCCTTCTTTGTCTTGCCTTGCACTAGTCTTCATATAAACATTCCTGACTCACAAACCTTGCTGGATGCAATTTGTAAGAAGCATTCCCCTCTCTGTTAACCCAGGGTTAGGGCTGCCACCTAATTAAATAATCTTCTGTCCTGACCCTTAACAGGCTGTAAGCAGCTTTTCCCAGCAAGGCAGGTAAACTCTTGGGACAATGCAATAAAGCTTGAAAATACACTGTTTTAAAGCATGTTTGTGCTGTGTGTATGTAGTAGTGTTTTACAAAAATCAATAAACTCTTTTTCTTCTGTAATTCTGTAAAAGGAAGAAAGGAAAGCAACCTGTTATGAGCTGGCTTTGAGAGAAAGTGCTTTCAGTTACAATGGGCAAGGGAGGCTGTACTTTTAGCAGCAAAAGAGGAAGTCTTTTCAGATAGAAATGAAAACTGTCCTTTCTCAGCATGTTTGAATTGCCTTGTTAGTGCAGGTCCTGAACTGTTAATATCTGTAAAACCAATGCACCATATTGATTCATCGTTTCAACTGTAATAAAAGAAGCAAAAAATAAGCAAATCGAAAGATACAATACTGACTAGAACTGACAAATGGTTGGAAGGATAATGTGCCTCTCATTGTATCTCTCTTACTCCTACATCTATCTTTTCAGTTGAAAGAAATCAAAGGAAATCTGTCCTTATTTTCTCACGTATTTGTGACAGCATGTATGAAGTGCCAAGACTTAGGAGGAAAAGGAGATGATGATACGTTTCAGATCCAGTGAGGCACAGCTGAAAAAACTGATCTAATGAAATACCAGAAGAACACTGTGGGGCACAGAAGCCTTGTGAAGCTGTTGGTAATAGGTGAGTTTTAGTTACCCATTGGTTTATTTTTGTGTCACTTTGGGATGCTGGATTTCAAATTGCTAGAAGAGGTGCAGATGTTCAATTGTCTCTTGCATTTGTGCATTTACTGAAACAGTGTTTGTTAATGCTTCTGATTTGTGGATCTTGCTGCCCAAGGTGCTGTGAATTAAATGACCTGATAGTAGGATTATTTCTTTTCAGCTCTTGTTTGTCATTAACAGCCCCCAAGGACTTGAAGCCACAAAGGAAAAACTATTAGAAGACACTTTTTGTTTTTTTCTTAAATGCATTACGAAGAGGGGCCTTCTGATTTCCTAAACTTACTGCCAGTTCTGTCTAGGATGAACTGGGGATAAAAATGCTTTCTTTGTCTTTGTCCCTGTGCCTGTAATAAGCACGTTACCAGATAACACTCTGCAGAACAATATGGAAACAATTGGCAAGAAAGATTGAGACTAAAGGGTTGCATTTTTCTAGAGACTCTGCTGTTAGTGTAATACTTTCATGTTGTGATCTTGTTTGCCTAGCAGTTTTTAAGAATTCCTGATGGCATCCAGCTGTAGCTGGGGTTGGTATAATTGGCTGCTTTTTTTCTAAAGACATTTGTTCTGGGTAGCTGTGGGCTGACTGCTCAAAGAACTTCCAACAATGGAAGTAAGTGCTGGAGTAGTGTTTGATTTTTTTTTTCCACTTATGTGCCTGTTTACAACCTTTGAAAAGTCATATTTATTTTGCTTAATTCTGCTAGAGATAATGTGTATCAGTCTGACTTGTGAAGTTCTTATCTTCCTGCAGTAACTGATTAAGGCTGCAGAGACTGGCCTTCACAGGTTAATGAGCTCTTAATGTATGTAACTCCAATACTGTAAAAACAATCTCTTGAATTACTGTTTTATCACTGGTCATTTATTAGCTGACTAGTTCAGGTTTGGGCCAGTGCAAATTCTGAAGGTGATGACCCAGGCAGTGAACTAGACCAACAATTTAGTGGCAAAACAACAATCTGAACTGAAACTATGCAACCTAAGACATTGCCAAAGGGTCTTTATTTGTTCACTGTCTTTTCTTGTAGCAGAGAGAAAAGTAGGGAGCTGCTTTGTTGCTGATTCTCCAACAGTTTGAGTTGGGGACAAATTTTGAATACCAGTTTGTAACCTGACTCTTTCAAAACCAATCAGTGTATACTTTGTTTTCCTGTGGAGTACCTTTTAGCATATCCGTATGTGTTGTGGGGAGTTAATTAGTGCAAGGTTCTGTGTCTGTTAACTTCTCTTTGTTGTCATGGTGGACAAAAACAATGGCATTAACAAAAGCTGTCTATGGTGTGATATGTTAAATTGCATCTGGCTTAGTTGTGCATTTATTTTACAGCTTTTACTGCCATGATCTCTGTGCTCATGTAATCTGTTTTCATTTGCAGTGCAGTCAGCAGTATGAAAAGTTAAGTATTGTGTTAGAGCTTTCAAGGAAAACATGATGCAGCATGATCACGTATATTAATGGAAATGTTCAGAGCCCTTTAGCTGAGCCAATGAGACCACACTAAGGGAGTCACTTGTGTCTGGAATTCTCTGCTCGGGGCTGCTGTTTCATGCAGAGACTCTTGGGAGTGCAGATTGAGGACTGTGTGGTTTGTCATTGAGGGAGTATAACTCCATATGCCAGTAAGATATGTTTGCCACGGGATGGGATTTTTTTTCTTTCCTAGGGAATTGAGAAGACAATATTGTTTTCTCAAGGTGCAAAGCACCTGGTTTATCAACCAGTGCCTGTCGGTGTTTGGATCAACATTGGATACTGCCTTCAGGCATTTTGCACCTGCAGCACAGGATTAGAAAATCACCTCAGCTCTTCAGTGGTGTGTGGAAGTTTCAGTAGAAAGTGTAATTATCCTCAAGCTGCTGGATGGGGATTCTGTGTTTTTTTCATATAAAGCAGGTTCAGATCCTGAATCCCAAGCTTTTAGACTTCCTAGTTTTATGCTTGCACTTTGCACTTGTAACATAGTATGGTTACTCAAGGAGTCATAAATAGGTTTAGCTTCCTGGCATCCCCTTCCTAGAGGTGTAATAGACTGCAGGTAACAGACTGCAACATTTTTGCAGTGTGTGTGTGTCACTAAAGCTGCTGGGAGGTCCTGCTTTGCACGTAAGTTAAAGAATCTATTACAGGAATTAAAAATTGGCTGGATTTGCTGTTAATCTCTGCTAATCTGAAGATTTTGAGTGATTTAAGTCTTTGGGCTTTCATCTTGCAGAAGACTGTCTAATTAAAAGGGGAACTTGCCAGGTATGGTGTGCAGTTTGTTACCCTGGTACAGTGTTAAGTCATGGTGCTTCTGCCTCCTACTTATTTGGCAAAGTACCAAAGTTTATGGTGTGGAATTGATTTATAACTTCAGTATATTTAACATCAGCTTCGGCTCCATCATGCTCTTTCTGCCACAAGAAAAAAATAGAAATTTCCCTTTTCTGAAAAGTAGTGTTTCCAGAGGAAATTTCAGAAGTCAGTATAAAGATATTTTCTCTTATTTTCCTATCAAAATCCCCCCCAGTTCTGTCTCCCTGCAGACAAAACGTATGCATAATGACAGCGAGGTTCCTAAGTAAATACCATGAAATTTTGGGTGTCTTAGTCATACAGTGATATTTTTCTTTCCTCAGTCAATAGGGAAGAATACTGCTCTCTGAAAATTGTGCAGTTTATTTTGTAGCCTACTTTGCACACTGGAAACAGTTTCAGATTTTGTACTGTAAAATACCACTGCTGGAATTTTCCTGAAGCCCAAGCAATTTTCCACTGGATGATAATATCCTTAAATGCACTGTCCCTAGTTTATGCAGCCTGTATTATACAACAAGAGATACTCCAGGCTGTCCTCAATATGAAATCTAGGTTCAAACAACCCACTTCTCTAAGCCTTGTCTGTGGCAGGAACAATAAGACCAGTAATGATTCTAATGCTTTTCAGCTGGCTGGGAATGCAACAGAACATTTTGTGATTTGGATCATGTGTTTAAGCATAAATAACCAAAAAGAGGCTTAAGAGAACAGTGTCAGAAAAAAAACCAGTGCAGATTATTAGTTATCAGGATAGTACTAATGAGATGAGACTGTATTGCAAAAATTTGTATTATCTTTTGAAGAACTTCTGCTTTGTCTTTTCACATTCAGTTGAAGTTGTCATATGACCCCTTCTGCAGATTTAGGAACAGCTGGTAAATTTGCAGAGGAGAGTTAATGCCCAGGAAAGTAAGGTATGCACTTGAACCTCACATCCATGAGACCTTTGTACTGCATGTAAATCTCAGTATTAAAAAAAATATGGAAACTTTTTCAATGTTGTAATAAGCATGTTAGTAATGCTATGACTTCATGGGTTAGAACTGAAAAAGGTTTACTGAATTGTATCCAGTTCTGCTGGACCTGCTGGACCCAGTCTGCCCAGGGTAAGTGCAGCCTGTGGATGAGGCACTACGCTGTTCTGACAAACCTTCCGAGTGGAATTGCAGTGTCTTTTTCCTGTTATAGCTCACACCAATTTTGGACTAGAAGAAACAACACTGTAGTGGCTTTTTGGTCATCATAATTTGCAGTTTTCTGGCTGACTTGTGCTCACAGGAGTATTTTGCTACCTCCCCAGAGCTAAAAGTGTAGGATGTGTCTGGGAAATGTTTATGTTATGTCCTTCTTGGAAATAGAAACCATTCTAAGCAACACCATCAGTGGTACAGTGAGGCAACATGCTACTTCCCAATTCTGACATCTGTAGCAAAGAATAAACACAGGTTATCAATACTCTCTTGTGCTTCTGGGTGTGACCTCTCCAGCTCTAGCAGTATTTAAACCAAGACAGCAAGCAGCTGAAAGCTTTCATTCTCTGTGTCTGTATCCTGTAATTGTACTCTGGGATGGAAGGGACTAATTAATGCCCGAATATCAGGGAATACATACCCAGTCTTTCACTGATCAAATGCAGCAGAAGTCAGCACTGGATTTAGCTTAAGGTCAGGGAAGAGAGAAGGGATGCTGTTAGGGTGAAGGAGTAATCTGTAATCCTCTTGGTGGTGAAACACAATCTGCCTCTCCTGACCAGGTCAGTCTATATGGGTAGCACATCAGATATGCCCACATCTGGTACAGTGAGAGAATTTCTCTGGCATATATGAAGGATTCCACTTTTTCTCACACGTGTAAATGAAAATCTACATTTAATGTTGAGCAACCTGCAGCCCTTCTTGTGTGGGCTGTTAGCTTTTTTTAAGAACTGCTGTTCTGAGTGCGATAAATAGAGCATATTTTAGATTAATTCTACAGTGAAAAAAATTTCAGTATAACCTGGTTTTCAACACTCAAAAGCCTTTGGATGTACCCTAAAGCTGTTGCAAACCCTGGGAGATAAGAGCCTTTGAAATAGCTGAGTGGAGTAAGCAGTGTTTTAAAAACAAAACAAAAAACTTCCCCAGATATGAGCTGTGATGCTCTCAGAGCCTCCCAGTTGCTGCAAATCTGAGTGACCCTGCAAATGGACTTTTTAAAGAGGAAATGCTGCTACATGATCAAGGTCCCCAAAGGTGCTAAAAAAGAGCAGTGAACATATAAAGTCAGTAAAGCTTGTGGTATTAGGATAAAAAACATTTATCATTGAAGCAGTCAGGACTCCCCTTTTAAGAGTACATCTTGTTTTTACAGTGTTCAATTATGATCTAGTTTGTATAATCATTAAGGAAGAACTAGCCTCACAGTGTAAATCCTTTAGTTTATTGGTATTTTAGTAACAGAGAGTACATACTTTACTGCTCAAATGATTAGTTTGTTAGTGATGATGGTTGTTTATCCTGTTCTGAACATGTGGGTGTTCATTTTGACTGAATGCATACGTGTGTAGATGTATGTTGTAGAATATGATGAAAGCTTAAAGTATTCAGTTCTTGGCCTCATAGTAACCAGTTCAAGTATTTGCTCAAAATCTACATTCATGAGTAGCCAACTTTGAG